TCAGGCTAACTACTGCCCTCCCTCACCGAATCGACAAGCAATAAGTAGAGAAAGCTCCTTCGACAGTCCCGGAATAGTGCAAAATGAACCAAACTCTTTCCCGTATCATGTGCATCGAATCGAACAAGATATTCGACAAATGAAAACCTTCATGATGATATCGGTAGCGGTCGCCTTTATGTTGCTCATAATAGCAATTTTTCGCTGACAACACTTTCAATTTTTCGCCCCATATGATATGAACTTCGCCTGTAGTTTGTCGGAGATGTATCCTTCATAGGAAACGTTACACTGACATCCTTGTACTGTTGACTTTCCATTTTGGCAGGTGATCTAGAAGATAGAGTAAACAGTAGATGCAGTCGTATAGTTGTATGAAACTGGTGAAGTCACACTATTAGTTTTTTGTGAAGTTATATGATTGCTCTTTTATCTGAAATCACCTGTGTTGTTCAATTATTTTGTGTTAATGACTCCAACCAATTGAAACTATTCATTGTATAATGATGCACAGATGGTTACCTTAATTGTAAATTATTACAATTCGTACGTTCTTACTTACAGTTTTGTTCGTCCTAAGTTACAACATTCATAAAATTAGTTGTAAAATTGAAAATCTTTAATAAAGCATCAGGAGCAGAAGGAGGTGCTTATTCAGGTACTATCACATTGTGGGTCATTGAATGATCAAGTATCTTCAGTTTTACACATCTGACTCTGGGCCAAAAAACTGACATTCATTGTGAGATTTTGTGCACAATATTTTGCTAATTACTGTGTATGCACAGTGTTGAAATTAAGGTCACTAATGTGTAACTCAGTATTCACATGGGTACCCTTAATGTTGCAATACAGGTCTTACCATGATAAAAATTGCCCAATTGGTATTTTATTTTCTGATGCTGATTAGTGACACGACGTAACACTTATTATTTTATGTATCGATACTAAAAATATAGTTCAACAAATTTTGTCCATATGATTGACAAACTGTTCATATATTGTTACAATTCATAAGTTCTTATTTACCTCTTTGTTCGTTCTGAGTTACAACATACATAAAATTTCTGGTCGAATTTGAAATCTCCTATAGGGCATTGGAGCAGAAGGAGGTACGAACCGCTCATAGAGGTAGTAAATTTGGGTCATACACTGACCAAGGTCATAGAGTGTTACACATCTGACTCTTGGCCAAGAAACTGTTGTTTTGGGCTGTCATACCTCCCTGTGACAGTGTAACTGTGCATGCACAAAGTGAAACGTACATGAATCTAATGTGTAACTCTGTATCCACGTGACTCTTAAAAGTTGGTGGACAGGACAAAAACATGATAAAAGCTGCAAACATGTGTTGAAGTCTGTAAACGATTGGCAACAGCACGTAACACGTATATTCACTGTCGGTACTACAAATCTGGCCTGGAAACGTAACAAAACTTATCCGACATGGTTCAGGCACTGCATGTGCGTCTACAGTCTCTTCTCCCGTGATGTACTAGTTGCCCTCATATGCGTTCGTGAAGATCTCACTATTTTAATGAGATGTTCGAGAAAGTCTCGCTACACAATGTTTTGGGGTTCGAAACGATCATCGTAACTATTCTCAATAGATACTTAATAAAGTGTCTAAGAAATTTAATGTGTCAGTGGGAGGAATTATCGTTTCTGCCAAGGGCAATACCACAAACAAGAGAAGACGAAAGATTCATCGAACATTAACTAGTTGTATTATCACTAGTTGTAATATCGGGGAATATCTAGTTGGAATATTATCCAGTTTTAAATAGAGCAGACGAAAACCTCCTGATTGCAAATTCATTAGTTATAATAAATTGTAACATACACCTAACTGGTTGTAACGAAATCCGTACATAGTGAAACGTACAAGTCACTGATGTGTAACTGTTTATCCACATGACCCTTAATATTGGTGTACAGGTCATTTCATGACAAAAAAATGACCCAATTTGTTTTATTGTGTGAACAGATTTGACACAATTCAATGGCATGCATCGAACTCTACAGCTTCCACTGCCACGACAAAATTGTTTGGCCTGGAATGCGTTGTCCAGTGATTTTTACCACATTGTGAGGGTCCTGCGGACTATAAAAGGGTACGGTTGCAGTAGTATATCTCTCAACAATAAAAATTTTTCCGTCCACCTTTCATTACTACACAAATATTTTCCATTTTCAATAACTTCACACTTCCCATTTCATTGTACTGAAGGGTGGCAATGAACCCGTGCATGAAATTTATTATTAGTATTCTTCAACCCTCCTCTAACCTCAATTGCAGTGTCATCAATAGAGGGTTCACACAGAAATCAAGTTCTTGGGTACCAAATAGCAGCCAGTAGCTTGCATGATGTTCGAGAAGATCTCCCTAATTTAATGAGATGTTCGAGAAGGTTTCGCTACATCAATTGTTTTGGGGTTCGAATCGACCATCTCTATGTTCTCAATAGACACTTACTTTAAGTGTCTAAGAAATTTTATGTGTTAGAGGGGAGGACTTATTGTTTGTGCCAAGGGCAATGGTGCAAACGAGAGAAGAGGAAAGGTTCATCAAATATTAACTAGTTTATGTATCACTAGTTGTAATATCAGAGAATTTCTAGTTGTAATATCAGTAGTTTTAACTAGATAAAACGAAAAACTGCCAATTGCAAATTCATTATTTGTAATGAATTGTAACATATACATAACTGGTAGTAACTCAACATGCACATGGAGTAATCAAAATTTGTTGCATTTTAAATATTAGATACCCTACTTTCAAATTACTTGTTTGACGAAGTATCATGTTCTTCTGCGAAACTGTTACTTATTATGTGGTCATGTGGAACCAAGCCAAGCCGCCAATTGTAAGTTCGTTTCTGTACTGAAGTAATACCTATTGAAGTGCCTGTAATGCTATCTGTAATACTCATCGTTAATACAATTGTAAACAAATTGTCTAAATTTTAACATATAGGCAAATGACAAGGTCCCTGTACAAGCACATCAATAAGCGATAACAGCTTATTAACGTCCTGTAACGTACATATGCTGGTGGTAACTTCTTGTTACACTTGAAAAGTAAGGTGACTGACGACTATTTGGGTATTCCCCTGACCCAATTATTGTTGGAGTACAGGTCATGACCCCATCGAATTAAACCATTATTTCATCCACACACTATACATTTGACTAAACGTTGAGTCTATTCTCTCGTTAATAGGTGGTTGCCATGCCTTCATCTACTCACCCAGGAGTACTATCCCGTGGAGAACAACATGAAATGACATAGCAAGCAGTTGATCAAGTTGTCAGAAGAAACCATTTACTATGCATGATCTGAAATAGGTACTCTATTAAAAATTTCTACCTTTTTTTTCTCCCACCTAATTCTTTATCAGTAGATCCTTCTTTTCATCCAACCAAAAAGCAGTAGGTATTAGCATAGTCATGCAATCCACAAACGAAGGATCACAGACAAGCTCACCATCAAATGTTCGGCAAAAAAGACGGAAAGTATCGTTGGATCTAACAAATGCCATAAACAAGTACGAAACACCAGATGGGAGGATTTTATATGGTACCAAACTCGAGTTCAGGAACGCTCCACTTAACACCAACAACTCTCTGGGACTAGCTGGTCACATTTTTAAAAATACCGTCAACGATCATCTACCATCTGACTATTTCGTTATGGACCATGAATCCATATGGGAGCCTGTTCGTAAGCGAAGAATGGAATTAGCGGTATTTTGTCGCTGGCATGGCATCCGCGTCCCGAGAACAAGGTTAGCGGATCTTGTTATAGGACCACAAGCCAATGATGCAAGCGTATTACATAGACTACAGCGAGAAGTTATGCAGATGGAGCGTAGGCTTCACAGGTTCCACGAGATCCAAGCCGTAAAAAGACATGGTATTGGAAAACATTTTGATGTTCAACACATTTTAGCAGATCCCATGCTTATATCGGACCCGGACCTATCTGATTTTACTGAATCAAGCGACGATGACTTTCAAAGGTACATACCCCACTGTCTAATGCATGACGGCGTTCTCAGGTGTTGTATGGGATACAACTGATAACAAGGGATGTAGTCCAATGTTCATCGGGGTAGCGATAAAACTATACTCATTATAATTTATACTCAAACAAATTGCTTACCATATTTGGATATTAATCATGCCTGTTTAACACTCGTAACTGGTTGTAACGTAACAGTAACATATCCCTAACTGGTTGTAACCCATTGTGTACTGTTCGTTCTTCCTTTTTGTTGCATTCTAAAACTTCATTTTAACGTTACAAATTAGTTCTCCAAGGAATCATTTTCTTATGCGCACCTATTACCAACATGTGATTGTGACCTGCCTTGACTATAGGTTAATTAACCTAAAAACTTGCAATACCAATTGATGTGCCTGTGATATATCATGTCAATAGTGCACTAAATTAGTCAAACGATGCAAAATAAATGGCGTAAATGATAATATTTTTATTAAAAAAGCCCAATAATAATTCGAATTTATCATCGTAACAAAATCAAGACGATTTATACTTTAGATTGTGTTATCTTATACATCGTACCTTTGGCGGTGCGATCTATGACAATAAATACGTTATTAAGGTATGCAATTCAATGTAATAGAATTGTATACATATTACGACAATCATTCAACTGTTATGGTCGATTTAATGAAAAATATCCGATCACAAAAAACACGTTCAATTCTATTGTAATTACTTCAATTTTCTACCAACTTTATAATTTTCTAACAATTTTATACAACCCAATACAAACTATTGATGACTACTAACACTAGATTGGATTACAATTGTAATCCACTTGTCTAAATTTGAAAAGAGTGAAACATTGATGGTGCCTGTACAACCTCGTCAATAAGTTGTAACAGTTTATTAACTGCTTGTAACGTACATATGCAGCATTCTCAGGTTGGGACAACCACTTAATGTCTCTTTCAAAAAGTATAGTTACACATCATTCATCAACCTCATTCTCGGGAGAGGCGACGTCAACGCGTAGTTGCAATCCCTGTGTGTTATTTCTTCCCTGAAATGCGTAATGATGGCAAATCAACAAATATTATTAATAAAACATACGATTAATGATATACGATGTCCAAGTCTCGAATTAATAACATTACATAAATATGTGCTGTAACGATAAAAGTTTGTCATCTAAGGTGATGGTGCAAATACATGATATGCATCAACATCACAGTGTGTTGAAATTGCTCCACGCTCCTCCTACATTATATAGTATAAGTAATCGACTGTCAACAAATCATTACCAGTGCCTATATTACTCACTTATAAAGTTAAATTGGACTAGACATTATAACAAAAATGATATATCAGACCATTAACACATCTCTGACGGAGTTATGGTTGGAAAAAATAGAAAATTTGGGATGCATCCATTCTGTACGAACACTTGCAGGAGGCCCCTGATTAACCAAACGGTGGACCTTAGAATAATAAAAATTAATACGTTATTAAAGCGAGCATACGTTAGCCATTAACTGCATAATTTGCATGATTTGACAGCCTTCGAGTGCCCACCATTACAATTAAAGAAAAAAAGGTAGTTCTACTACATGAACAAGAAGGTTTTTATTTTAACTACTACATGTATACATACCATTTGACTTTTATCGATATCGGGAGCAACAGCATTTGGAGGGCCATTCACTGTCTGACTCATTGAATGTGTCTACAAGTTTCGTATGGGCCAAATCATTGTATAAGACAAACAAAATACGTATATCAGAAGGGATGACGGTCGTAACAACATTATCACACAATGTAACATCAATGTAACTATTTATGCTGTTAGAAACATCCAAATAAAAGCAACAGTCGGTTCCATTTTATACTAACCGAAACAGAGTCAATAGATGAACGACATCCCATAAACATGTATTCCTCAAATGAAACCGATGTCGGCTCCGATTCTGAGACCTACAGTATTGACACGGCAATAATATTATTTCATAATGAATGTTACCTAAACTTTAGTTAATAGTATAACAATAACTTGTTTTAACATAAATGTTCCCTAAATACCAAAATTTGATCCATACCGTAGTCTATGTAGTTCTTGATAATCTAGATTTTCTTTTTACTCTGTCAAATTTATCGACCCAACTTCGCATCACTCTACATTTCTTCCCACCGCCTCATTTTTTAATGCCTCTTGTGACTACTGCCTCCCCCATTTCACTTACAATTTCAATTTTATCCCGTTCCTCCATATTCAGATTTTTTTTATTTTGCAAAGGTTGCTCTTTGCTTTCTGAGAGGAGGAGCTCAACTCTCTTTGACAAATCGGATATGACAGTGATTGCTACTTTGCTGGTGTCCTCCGACATTGCTGCTCGAGTTGCGACCTTAATCATGGCTGGAGCGAACTCCCGATAACGAGTTGAAATCATTACTTTAGGATCAGCCACAACTTCCTGTCCTCGCCGATCAAAACAGTCTCCAGCCCGAGCTCTTTTTGTCCATCGACTCTTAATGTATTCAGGAGAAATTATTTTTATGCCCACAGTATCAAACACCTTCAACGCGTGCCCACATAAAATGCCTTCATTCTCGTATTTTTTGCAACTACAACGTACACTTAGATCATTCCGATTGAATACCACTATTCTTTCAGGTCCTCCATCATACCTCATGACCGCAAACTCCACAATAATCGCTGCATCTTGTTGTCTCAACATAATCATAGCTGTTGACTCACCATATTCATTTTGGAATGCAACAAACATGGTTGGTGAATACGTCTCTGATGCATGCACAAGCATAGGTGTTTGTCTTAACCCGACCATGGGGAGCTTTTGCCTCATTTCATATTCTGCGATCAGTTCATTATGTCTCTTTTCATCAACCACCCGGTTGAAATGTCTGAAGAACTGCACAAGGTCATGATCCAATTTCAAATGATTTTTAATTGCTGCATTTAGGCTTTCGCTAAGTTGGGTGCTTCGCATTCCCGCGGTCCATCTTTCTTTCATCATGCACCTTGCCCATTTATCACGAATTCTATACAACCCGGAGAGCCATTCATTATTTTCAAGATTGTGTTTCTTCACCATTGCCTCCCACACCTTATTGAATTGTTCCACTTCTTCAAACTCATACATGCATGCACCAAACATGTATGGAAGATCACTATTTTCCTTGTAGTGATTGCCAAAATGTTTCATAAAATTACGCCTTATGTGAAACGTACATAGACCGTGAAATGTTTCAGGCATAACAACTGAAAGAGCCGCTGCCATGGCATGATCTTGGTCGGTTAGTATGGTACTTGGACGCTTTCCGCACATTGCTTCTAGAAATGTACCAAACACCCATTTGAAAGAATCTATAGTCTCATCATACATAAGGGCAGCACCGAATATCACAATCTGCTTATGTTGGTTAAAACCCACAAACACTCCAAGTGGCCGGTATTCTTTATTCGTTTTGTAAGTTGTGTCAAATGTGATTACGTCTCTAAAAAATTTGTAGTCAATTAACATTCCTGCATCAGCCCAAAAGATATTCGTTATCTGCTCTTCACAGTCCAGCTATACGGCATGAAAAAATGATGGATTCTCGAGTGTTTGCTCTTGAAAATAATTCAGCATGCTACTTGCTTCTCCATATTTCAAACTCCTTTCCCGTTGAGTACGAAAATATCTTTCAGGTCTTCCCGAGTATATCCCACATTTCCCATCCCACCTGCCTCCTTTCCCATAAGCTCATGGCTCTGTTTCAATGAAAGTCCAGCGTCCTTGCTTATTTCAGCTTGAAATCCTTGAGCCTCGCTTACTTTTCTTTGTGATGGCATCATATGCGCACATTGAGCAATGTGCAACTCATGGTTATGCTCTAAGACAAGGTCATGCACACGGTACTTCATTGTCCCTCTAAACAACACGATAACCATTTTAGCTCCATACCCTGTTTTCGTCGGCGCTCGTGTCCTCTTTGGCATCACATCACCTTCGTACTTGCATTTCACACCTTTCTTGCGGCAACTATATCTCCTAGACGTGGTCACGCCGTCTTTGTCCTTATTCAGATAGTCTTTACGTACACTGAAACCCATTTTAAAGGCATACTTGTTGTAAAAATTGTACGCATCCTCTTCACTGTTGAACTCCATTCCTAATTCAGGGGTCCTATTTTCTGCCAATTTGCTGCAATTCATTACTTCTGCTCCTACCAATTATGTATCAAACACCCTAATTTGCAACATTTCATGAATACTATGTACATAAACGACAATATAAATGTATATTACCATTCATAATGTGTTATGAATCACACATTACTCGTATATCAAATCCTATTATTACGCTTATCAATATGATTAATGATTCACATTACCTTACTTTTACTCTAAGACAACGGCATTATCTATGTACAAATACAACTCCATGTACACTAACTTATACGGACTGTAATGTATTGGTCACACGATGTAAGTCTATCTTAACTATATGTACATCCACACTGGTGATTATATTTTGATTCTAGATTCTTTAGCTCACTGGACCTTATGTCATTCGTTAATGACAATCGCATAAGCTAACTCCACATTTTCTACTATTTCTACATTTTGAGGGCCAAACAAGTACTTTCTACTAATTGTAATATATTTATTATATCATGTAATTGACTTACAACACAAGGTTCACCCATTTATTATTCACATATGTGTCTTTTCCTCTGCTTCACCTCATTCAACTCTACGCCTCCATTTTATACATACTGTATGGTCAGGAGAGGGACAAACTAATATTGCTCCATGAACATGGACCAATTACTAAATGCACAATGATTCATATCAATTGTAATACGGTGGCTATAACATGTAACTAATTTACAACAGGATGTATATTCATTCACTTGTTAAATGTGACTTTGTTTCTCTCATCTTTCCCTAATTCCGGCCGACGGTTTACTTGAATACATAACCCTAGTTCTTCCAAAAACTACTATCCCATTATAGTCCATCACTAAAAAGTTGAATGCTCAAACACACACACAAAAATACGGTACCACACAAACAAATACAGTACAACTTCACTATTTTTCTATCATCTTCATATTATGTCTTCAGTGACTCTAATTTCATCCTTCCTTTAACAGATGTGCATTTGGGTGACAAATTATTGGCCACAGTTACTGACATGATTCAGTCATGTTACCTTGGTCTGCTAATACACTTCACGTTTCACCGCAATCGGAGACGTAGCTGCTTCTGCTATTAAGTTGAAGGACAAAATCTGGTTTCGTGAGATACTGAATTTCCTCTATTTGCTTCTACATTACCGCCGCTCTTGCACGCATTCAGAATACATACAACACTCTTATACCCAATTGGAGACCACAGCTGCTTCTGCTATTCAGTTTTACGGACAAACTTTGGCTTCAGGTAATGTTTGCTTCTTCCATGCTGCCTGCCTCTCCACCCACTTTTCTGTCAATTGCTACCTTCATCAGAGTAGACTACACCCACGTCACCTAGATGAACCCAGTAGGAAAAACCACCCACCCGAACTTCAGCTTTCTACCTTCAGTGAGCGGTCAGTCAGAGTAGATGACCTTCACAAGCACATGAAGACGCTTCCCTCAATTTTGTTTTCTGCGCCTAATTCAAAATTTCAACTTGAATTTCAAAAACCAATTCTCTTCCGTTTGCTCCGTCTGCTCCCGTTTGGAAGTCAACATTTTTTTATTTGGAACGGCGTCGTTTTTGTGCCGTATCCTGCCCGAATTGATATGACAAAACCATTTGCTCTGCACCAAGTTTTGTCAAGTCTGAAAAAAACCGCTTTACGAATCTGGCGTTAACTTTCATGTGTGGTATTGAAAGAACAACAACCAGCCGCAGGCCCCCTCCTGTCCTCTCACGTGATGAACTTTTTGAACGTGGCTTGCGTAGGAAGGACAACGTGGAGAGACAGGTGCGAGAAATATTAATTATGGTGATGAAGCCCGACGCGACATGACATGTGTTTCTGAATTATTTTACTATTTAATCAATTCAATTAATGTTATCTAAGGGTTATTAATACTTGTTTAGTTCAAATGTTTAAGAAAATTTCACTAGCCTCCCCTGAAATTTATAAAATTGTTCAAACATCCCAATTAAGGTTAAGATTTTGATAATAAAGTTAGTCTAATTAGAAAGAAAAAGCAACATTAAAAAAGTATTTTAAAAAAGAGATGAAATTTTTATTCCATAAATACTCCTTATGCATGTATATAAGTAGTATTAGTAAAAGAATAAAAATAATTAAAAATTAGAAACAATTAATATACATATTTAATCACTCAAAAAGTTCACATTTAATAAATTAGACAGCATAAATAAGTAATAAAATAACATTAATGATTACAAGATTCAACAAAACAAACTAGTCATCTTATTTAACATAATATTTGTTATGATTCTTGTAATTTAAAATAAAAAATTTTAGAATTTTGCCTTTCTTTTCCCTCATTTCTCCCTTATTTGCATGAAATTATTTTACAATTATCTCCTTTATTTCCATAAAATTACTTTACAATTGTCAAGTTGCATGTTTAGTTTAGACCATCTTTTAAGTCTCAAATACATTTCATAATCACATAATTATCTGTGATATGTTTCATGTATTTTCACCAAGACATATTCTATATATTTTTTGTCATTAATGTCATTTTTTTTTCGTCAAATAATTTGTGTTGGATGATTTTTAATTTGTTTATTAACAATATTAACTTCTATTTTATAAAAAAAAAACTTTGTTTTGGTACTATGACTCAACTTAGACATGAGGCGAAAATGGCCTTGCATGATTTTGTCGCATAAGTATTTGACAAAAAGACGATGAATAATACTCATAGAAAGCTTTGAATTGCAACCTGGACGCATGTAGCCTAAGTCCTTGTTTGGATTGCGATTTTTCATCGAAAAATTATGTTGTTTTTCGTGATCACATTTCTCTATTATCTTTTGTCTTCGCATACATCAAATCACTACAGTAATTTTTAAGCTTTCATCTTCCTGCTTTGACAATTGTCTCTGTTCTCCATTGATCCCATGTCTACTCTGACTTTCCATTATGTCTTTGACCCACTGTTTTTTATGGCCGAATTAAATATTCAACATGGCCTAAGAGATTTTTCCCTCTTCTTCACCTAACCTTCCCTTTAAAAGCATCTTCATTTTTGTGGTCCCCCTGTAGTCCGTGTTTTAAATTTATTAATACCCCAAGTGCTAGCCTCAACTATTAGGACTAATTCATTTGACCAATTGGTTTTCTACTTAGCTTCCCAATTTTTATTCCGAAGGTTGTATGATGGGTTCAAATTTTAATGACCTTATATAATCTCTAATTTTCTCTTCTAAGTTTAAAAACAAGGCATATCAGTCTTTTTCTTAACAATTTTGGTTAAGTATTTAATATTTGACAATTTGACATACAAGAGTAACAGTAATATAATAAAAACTATTTTTTAAAGAATAAGAGTTTAATATTAGTTGTTTTTTTTTTGAAAATTTTGATAACTCAATTTATTGTTATTGCTATGTTATTATCCTTATTGTTTGATTTAAAGTCTAAAAAATTGAACAAAGTATATATTTAAGTGAACATTAATCCAACAAGAAAAATTTTAAGGATAATAAACAGATTGTCAATAGACTTCTAAAATTTCCAGCTTAGGTTTCATGATATAAAGTACTTTTATTGCAGCCAAATTCTTTCTTTTTATTTATTTTTTTGAAAAGAGCTTAGGGATTTTAATAGATGATATTTTAATACAGTTTAATAAAGGATGCTAAAATTAAGGGTCCAATTACGCTAAGCTTCTTGTCATCTTATCGTGATAATTTCAATCATTTTTGTTTTGAATCTCCAAGTTATCATGTTTCTTTCTTTTATTTTTTGACAAATATTTTTATTCTCCCCTAAGGAATATTAAGTATCAAATCTTGATCGTAATAAACAAAATACGCTCTAACATACTAATTCGGGATGGGACTTTAATAAATTAGTAAAAATCAAATGAAATGATGAACAAATTCGTATATCTCATAAAAATTGATCCATATAATTTAAGGTTTCTTTATTCTTATGATTTTCACTTTTATTGAAAACTTGTAAAATATAGTGTGCAATCATATGACTCTAATTAAGATCACTGGTTCTATATGAGAAGAGTGATGATAAGTTAAATGAGCGATTTGATAAGTTGAAAAGAAGTTAATATGTGACAAAGTATAATTTGTACTAATATTTTTTGAGTAAATCTTATATACACTAGTAGTGTATACACTATCATCATTAGATTTATGACACATGTGCAAAAATTGAATTTCAAATTAAAATTTTTCATAGTTGTTATTTATCCAATACTGACGATATATACATGGTCAGCGTAGGAAAGATTAATTTATATTTTTTTAGTGTAAATGCGTAGTTTTAAATTTGAAACCTCTCACTTACACTCCATTTCTTTATATCATCCAACCTTCCCTTCCCAGCATAATTTGTAATTAAACCTAGCAAACAGCTTTTAGAAAGATAATTTGGTTTTGAGCATTTTATGATTTTCCCTGTTCACATATTTTCCTATATCAATCAAAGTAGTACTCCCTTCGTTCTACTGAAAATATCATACTTTCCATTTTTAGATGTCTCAAAACAATTGTCATGTTAGAAAAGTCAAAATACCTTTTACTCTCTCTTTCTAATATAGTTCTTCTTTCTAATCATATGCATATTACCATTCAAATTTAAATTTTGAATTTGTAGAAATAAAATTAGAAAGAGAAATACAAATATCACAATGAAATTACTATTTTTAAAAAGTTAGATTCCCTAAACATGATTAAATAAATGGGATGAAGAGAGTAGTAAATGGGACAGTGTTGTTTATAGCCTTAAGCATGAGGCTGGAATGGAAAAAGCTTTGAATCGCCTTTACCATATCATCTTTAATGAGATACCAGAATTTTTGGAAGAAAAAAAAAGACATTCCATCTGGTCCTGGAGCTTTATTGGGGTGCATCTACAGGTTTGGTTAGATTGTTATTTATTTGGTCAGTGATAGAGTGTGAAATTCCATCAAGTATTTCCTCCAAACATTGCACGCCCGGACTAGTGAACAAGTTTTTATAGTACTCCTCAACTTCAGCCCCAAGGACAATATGGGGAAAGCACGAATGTCTTCCTGAAGCTAGAAAACAAATTAGCTTACATCATTAAAAGCATGTGGATCCCACAAAACATTATGCTATCCGATTAAGAGTTGCATTCATGCATTCTTTCTTATCAATTTTGATCCTTAAAAAGAGAAAAATAAAAAGAAACACCATGTCTGCCAACAAAAGTTTGACTAAAATGGGATGCACTTAAATTATATGAAACCAAAACAATGAATCAACATAACTACAGCCATGTGGAAAATCAAAACAGAAGCTGATTGGGATCCACAGCCATGTGGGATAACTGCAGCCATGTGGGATCCGCATGCTTAATGATGTAAGCTAATTTGTTTTCTGGCTTCAGGAAGACATTCGTCCTTGTCCCCAAAGATTGAGAAGTTAGCAAGGGCAAATAAGGGTTGTGCCATAACACTCCCTTGGTCTAGTTGGGTCTGTACAGCCTCTTTAGGCTCCCCTCCCCCTAGATTAGGATAGAGTAGGTTATACAAATATATCGTTGCTGACAAAAAAAAAAAAAAGCAAGGGCAAATAAGAAGGCAAAATGACAAGAGAAAAATCTTCCATCCTCAACGCCTTTGAATAGCGGTCTTGAAAGTGAGGAAAAAGCAGTTTTTAACAAGAAGAAATGGTAAAACAAAGGATACTAAGGGAGTTAGCAACTCTTAACATGAGTCAATAGCCTTTATGCATTGAGTATCCTACTATAGAGGTGGTTTTTGAACTAAAATCAAGATTGATTCATTTATTGCCTATCTTTTATAGTCTTGTAGGTAAAGATCCCCATAAATATTTGAAGGAATTCCATGTGGTTTGTTCAACCATAAAGGTTCAAGGAGTGATCGAGGAACAAATAAAACTGAGAGCTTTCTTATTCTCATTGGCAAAAAAAGCGAAGCATTGGCTTTACTATATTTCTTCAGGATCAATAAGAACATGGAATGATTTAAAAAGCAAGTTCTTGGAAAAAAATCTTTTCAATTTTAAGGGTAAGAACAATTGTTGGATCCTTAATCCAACGTTGGACTTATATGTGAATAATTATGTGTTGCAAACTGTCAAATAAGGTTAAATCCAATTAAAGTGATCAAATATGGTTTGGACTTAATGTATCTAATAGGGTGTGGACCTTTAATGTATAGAGACTTAAGGGCATTTCCTATTTCTATGATGGGCTGAAATAAGGATCCAAAGGGTAATAAGATTGTTATCTATAAATAGGGTTATGGTCCCCAAATCACACATATTCTTATTTGTCGTATTTTCTAGTGCCGACAAAATAGCTCTTTCATGATATCTCATCGTCAGGAAAAATACCAGAGAGAAACTAAAGGGCTCTCTCAAGGACTGGCAAATATGTGTTGACTTAGAAGACCACCCCAAAATCTTTAGAGATTCAAATATCAAGTTTGTCAACATGTATCAAGGTACGCTTCCACAATTTTTCATGTTAATTTATTTCTTAATAATCGCCATATAGATTTTGGATTTAATAGGTGATGGTCTTCACCAAGGGTTAAATTTTGACAACTACTCTAACAAGTGGTATCAGAGTTGGATATGGTTGATTATTAGGAAATAATTTGGATTTAATAATTTTTTTAAGAACAATTATATATGATGTTTGTAAAGAATCGGCCAACCTTAATTGTTTAGTTTGTTCGTATAGCATGAATGGCTTGTTGCTCCTTTTAATGTGTCTCGTGAATTCAATTTTTTTGATATATGCATATCGGTAATCAAATGAGGGAACTCTTGGTTGATGGCCTGCTTGTATTCAATTTTGACTGTGAATCTGTGGATCCGCCACATGATGCATAAGTCATGACGTGGTTTTTAAATTATGTTCTCTGACTGGTTGCAAAAGCCATGATAGGCCACATGGTACATGGTTTCTATAGTCATGCTTTTGGTTTTCATGTTTCGGCTTCTGTTTCGGTTTTCCACATGGCTACAGTTATGTTGATTCATTGTTTTGGTTGCATATAATTTAAGTGGATCCCGTTTTAGTCAAACTTTTGTTGGCAGACATGGACAATCCAAACAAACCTGGTGTTTCTTTTAATTTTCCTTTTTTTAAGGGTCAAAATTGAAAAGAAAGAATGCATGAATGCAACTCTTAGTCGGATAGCATAATGTTTTGTGGGGTCTGCATGCTTTTAATCATGTAAGCTAATTTGTTTTCTGGCTTCAGGAACACAACCATAGTGTTCATCTCTTAAGTTTGATGATGCACTAGATGAACCATGATTAAAATGTGGCAATGGTAGTGGATTTGATCCAAATTTGTCACCTCTATGGTAGTAACTGAACCCTTGATAGTGTAAACTATCATTGGTGCTACTGGCTGAACCACAATTGTGTCCATAATAACCAATGCTACGTGAATCAGATGCAGATTTATCATGATGTATTCCAGTTGTCCGATTATAATATCCACCAGTAGAAACACTAGAAGACCTCTGAAGATGGCTAGGTCCACCATATGATCCTGTAGAAACACTAGTGGATCTCTGAAGATGGCTAGGTCTACCATATGATTAGTATTCAGAGCAATAAGAAGTAGAGCCTGCAAGTGATCGCTCAAATTCATGTCTTGACCACCTAGTACCCAAACTTTTACTAGAATCATAGACTCCATATGAATGACCTACATTCAAATCTTGCATGTGCTCATGAAATTCAGAAGATCTCTTAGAATTTGAATTGTAAGAAGAGTCACCTTCACTCGAAAATTCAGTTATTCTACTTAAATGTTGCCGCTGTGCTTCTATACCAGGACGATATCCATGATCAGTGTCTTGAGTAACATAATAGTTATCATCTCCTTGACCCCATGATATGCCACTAGTATATTGGCTATCATGATAGTTACCACCACTACCACTACCACAAACATTTTTTGGTTAAGAATGTCACATGTTCGCCCCTCCAACATCATCATTACTGCTGTCATCTTTTTCACTGTTAGAAGTGTTGGTAGAGGAAGATGAAATGGATTTTCATATAACTTGTTTATTCCCAGTACTCTTGCTTTTGCTCATAGATACTCACTCCTTATGCTTCTTTTTCATACCAGTTATGAATTGGGACAAAGGCATATCATTATCATTACTTTGTTTTCTCCCTTCACTTTCACTGATGGCCTTATCCAACCAACTCAAATCATTTTCATGAATCAATGACAGCTCATTTTCTCGAACCCACTCATCTAATATATCATTTTTATAAAAAATGTAATTTAAATCAATTGGATTATAAAAATCATCAGTGTCATTTTTGTATATCAAATTCTTCACTCTAAGCAGCATGTTATAGTGCACGAATACCAACTTGTGCAACTTTTCAATTGCCAATCGATTTCAAAGTTTTGTATGTATCAAAAACCACGTACTCCAATTTCTTTCACAGCCAGATGATGTACAAGTTTGACTTAGAACTTTAATTGCAATATTTCTTAAATTAGGAGCTTCTTCACCATACATATTCCACCATTCAGCTATTAAAAACATATAACGTAAAAAAAATTACAATTTTAGTTATGCATATATAATAAGTATCATTAAAATAACATAATAATGCATAATATAATTTAAAGAACAAAATAGTAGTTATGAACCTGGAAAAGATGTAGCTACTGCCTTAATTGTAAGTGCGTTTCCAAACTCTCTAATTTTGTTCACGAATGTGTTTATCTAAGAATATTACAGAGTTAGAATATTAGTAATTTTCTTAAATTCATAGAGTAATGCAAGTTAATAAACAATAGCAATTTTTTGTACCTCGTTCATTGTTTTTGCTTGCACTTCTAAATCTGTTTCACACCTTTTGATTACTTCTTTCAATCCCCTTCTAACTTCAGACGTATTAAATTCACAAGTGTCAGAATATTGAAGAACGGGATTTAAGAAATAGGCTAGGCGAATGACATAAAAAAATCAAGTAAGGAAATTTTTAGCACAAAATAATTTATTTAAAAGAAATATTTATTTATAAGTGTCAAACATAATTACCTGCTACATGCAAGTTTCGAAGTAACTGCCTATACCATTTGTCATCAATGATATCCCAATACTTTTCATAGTCTTTTACTGCAATTTGGATTGCCATTTTAGCCCTATCCATTACCTCATATATAATGGGTAGTGTGGGTTTTTTATCCTCATCAATCACTTTTAAAACTTTCACTAGCGGCTCCATGATTGAACATAACCGTCGTACCCTTTTCCAAAATCAATCTTTCTGACAAAATCAAGTCAGATACTTCAGCAGCTTCTTCCCTTCTTTTAGAACTGCTATTATACTCCTGCCACTCATTTGAAGTACACATTCATTTCAATTCAGTAGCATGACAAAGAAGACTTTCCATTACAATGAACTCGGTAGCAAATCTTGTTATGCTGGGTCGTAATAACTCTATATTATTTGTATATGCCTTCATTAGATTGACCACTTTGTCACTATTGTATATAAAACTGGTAATTCTCCTATTTTGTTTGATAGCATCCTTTATTGACTTCATCTGACCAATGTTTTCTAGCATCAAATTAATGCAGTGTGCAGCACATGGCGACCAAAACAAATGCTTCCTTTTCTTCATCAATTGCTCTCCGGCTGCCTTCATGCTAGATTCGCTGTTGGTGACAATTTGTACAATATTTTCTTCTCCAATGGAATCCACAACCTTATCCATTAAGGATAAGACAAAGTTTACAGTCTTTACCTTGTTTGTACAATCGATAAAGCTGTGGTATATCATGTCTCTATCACAGTACACCATGAAATTAATGATTGGATGCTTTATCCAAGTACTCCAGCCATCACACATGATTGTGCACCTATATGTTTTCCATTTGTGTTTAATGGATCTGATGTATTGGTCAACATCTGTCATCTCCTCATTCAGATATTCATCTCCAATTTGTTTACCTATTGGCCCTTTAATTCCAGTTCCAGCACTAGCAATTGTGTCAATCATCAATTAATAATAAGGACCACTATCAGCCGCATGAAATGGTATGGCATTAAAATGAAATAGTTTTGCAATTGCCTTACCAACTCTTTTGGTATTTTCTTTAGAAAACAAATTTTTTACTAACTTATTTTTGGAGAGAAATATGTATGGATCAACTCCTTTTGACCCCAACCCTTCTTCCTTGAGTTTAAAACTCTGTGAGAAAGCTCTTTTATTTCTAGAGGACAATAGATTCGGTATACTTGAACTGCTACTCCCTGCAATATAGCACATAAAAGATTATAATTTTTTTATTAAATAAGTCTTCTAATCTAAAAATGTTATATTAATTCTTAGATATTTCTACATACATACCAGACATAAAATCCATAGTTGGTTGACCTCCAAATATAGAATGTCTACGTTGCTCTTCCATAAATCTCATATATCTACTTTCTTCCATAGCTCGCTTATATTGCTTTCTTTCCAAAACTTCCATTTCTTCTTCATTAAGTTCAAAAATATTATCATTTTCCTCATCCTCATTTTCATTTTGTAGATTGATGGATGAAAGCAATGATTATTTTTTCTTTTGAATTGTAACTCTTGTATTCTTACCTTGAATCAAGTGTTTCTTTAAAAGCTCTCTTATATCTCTTGGAGCTGCCTGACATGCCTCTACTTGTCCTGCTACATGTCCAATATGTTGTTTCATCCTTGTAATTCCTCCGTGTACAATTTTAGCACAATAATTACACTTTGCAACCTTTCTATCATTACCAACTGGAGTAGCCTGATCCCAATCAATGTCTTGATTTGGAGCCATTTTATACTATCCCTATGTTGGTTAAATAATCATAGATGTGATGTTAAACATATCAATATGCATTATTTAGATAATAATAAAATTATTTTTATTATCTAAATATATTAAATTTTTTTCTAATCAAGTTTAATTATGCAAGGTAATATGCATTATTTAGATTATAATAAAATTATTTTTTATTATCTAAATATATTAAATTTTTTCTAATCAAGTTTAGTTATGTAGGTAATATGCATTATTTAGATAATAATAAAATTATTTTTATTATCTAAATATATTAAAAAATATATTTTTTCTAATCAAGTTCAATTATTTGCATTATTTAGCTAATAATAATTTTTTTATTATCTAAATATATTAAATTTTTTCTAATCAAGTTTAATTATGCAAGGTAATTTATACTTTGACAATTTGCCCAATTCAATTTTTTGTTTAACTAACTAGAACTTTTAAGTAAACTCTTTTTTTTATTTTTTCTATTTAATATACCTAAACTCATTTTAACCAACATAACTGAGATACATGAAAATAAATAAATTACATTTATGATCATTAAAATGTATCCAAATAATCATTGCATATTTTCTAACTAAAATTTAGATAAGAGACTACTAATACAAATTAATCATATACTAAATAATATGTAAAAGGTGTCAAAATGCATTACTTAAATTTACAAATATCTAAATATCATATCTAAATGCTAAATTAAAAAAAATTAAAATTGACAAGTTATTTTGAAAGAAGATGCGGACCTTTTTGCTGATGATGCTTGAGTTTAAGATTAGGAGCCTAATCTCTTAATTACTTGGGTCAAAGTTGGACTTTATGTGCTTCTAATTTTTCTTTCAATTTTTTTCCCTATCGCTGGCTCCAGTACCAAAGCCCACATTCTCCATAGTTTAGTGCAGCCGCAGCTCCTAGGTTTAGCCGTGTGTTCCTCTCATTCTTCTCTTCATTTTTTTTCCAATTTCCCTTTTGCAATTTTTTCACCTCTTTCACGGTCAGATAATGAAGAAATTGAAGAGCCCCTTCAGCTGCAGAATTAGCTAGCCATCACCTTTATTCTTTCTTTCGCTTTCCCTTTCCCGCTGTTGTTTTCTTCCCCACCTGCCGTCACCTCTGTTTTGAGCCGCAACCGGACGATGAAGAAATTGAAGAGCCGTTCAGCTTGTTTCTCCAAATAATCACTCCAGAATCTGGAGTGAAGCTCAACAAGTAGTGATGGATCACGCAGAGATTGCTGGTATGGTTCTCCCCTTATCCCCACTTTCCCCTAAATCTTGTTTTTGTGGCTGAAAAAGGAAACAAGAAAGCATGGGAAAGACTCTGCAATAGCCGTATAGCTGTGGTGCACATCCCTTTGTAGTTGTAAGACAATAATTTACTTATATAATTGCACTTCTGTGGCCTTTTGTTCTCTGTTCGTTTTTTGTTTGGTTTTGTTAAAGGCTCTGCAACAGCTGTATAGCTATGGTGCACAGCCTTTTGTGGCCTTTCATTTTCTGTTCCTTTTTCATTTGGTTTGGCTTCCCAATTGCTGTTTATGATTTTGACCGGTACATATCCAAGTCAAATCCGAGAATTTGGCCGTTATCTTGCTACACAGTTCTAACTCGGACGATATCGGCTGATTCGGAACGATTCAAATCGGATATGGTATAATCGACGTTTCGGATATCGGTATCGGAATGGCACCTGCCGTTCCGGTTACGACTCGGGCGAGTCATCTCAGACTTGGCCTAGTTGGCGAACCATGGTTGCAACATATGATCTTGGCTGATAGAAACTGTACCCGATTCACAAAGGCAAGATCATGAGTTTTCAATTATCTCTTTCTCTAAACACAGTGATGATATAACAATTGAAGAAATTTCACCCAGCTGAAGGTGCATCAATGCTTTATGCTTTTGAGCTAACTTTCTGAGAGTATGATGAGGTTGGCAAACAATCAAACGATGCATATTTCCAACAATAGGTAGCTTTGATGGAGAAGGGACAGCTTCTTTGCTGCTTTGGATTACTTCCATCGCTTTCCTATACCTACAATAAAGGCAAGAAATAGGGAAAAAGCAAAGAAGTTAAAGGGAAGTTCCATTGCAAGGGATTCTCTGTGCTCTAGTTACATTGCCACCCCTTTTATTAACCTGATTGCTATCGATTTTAATACTTATAATTGTTTTTAGATTTTGATACAACACGCCTTGATTTATATCGATTAGTTAGAGAGTATTGAGTCTGATGAGCCTATTATGATAATGGTTAAATCAGAATCATATTCCGAAGGCCAATCAAATCTTTGTCTAATCATATATTCCTCTGATCAGATGCTATTTGTCACCTTCATATATGGGACAATTATCCATACTGATCCTAAATTGAGGAGTTTAAAAATGTACCTCAAATCCCATAGTAAACGAACAAATGTTCAATAACATTAGCTAAGTACTAATTGAAAATTTCATATACGTAGTGTAGCTATCACCATTGATTATCCCTTTGTTGCTTATTACAAACTATGTTTGCTTGACTTGCATGCACAATAGTCACTGGCACATTTGATTTCTTCTTTTTTTTTCTTTTTCTTAAGAAGCTACTATTTCAGACTGTAGTTTATTTCTTTATAGAACTTCAAAAATTTGCAATCAGTAATCATACAAGACTTCTATAACTATTTTACTGCTCCTAATAGGGCTGCTGGCCAATCGAACTACTCGCAAGTAGCTTGTAAGTGGTCTGATCAAATGCTTAGCTCAAACTCGATTTGACCGAATTCAAGCTCAAGCTCGAGTATCTTGATGCATATACCAAGTTGAGTTCGAGTCTCCATTTGTGCTACTTGAGTGCTCGTCAAGTAGCTTGATTATCAGTATATTATTTATATTATATTTTTATTTTAGTTATGAAATGACTAGTAAGGATTTATATTTTAGATGATTTATCATAAGTGTTGTCTACTCAAAAAAATTCATAAATGCAAAAAATGTAATATTGTAAAACTAAAAAACAGATGAGGATTTTAGATAATATACCATAAATTTTTTAGCCTTTTTTTTTTTTTTGAGTTTTTCAAGTTTTATTTTGAGCGTTGGAGCTTGTTAAGGCTCGCGACTAACGAGCCAAACTCAAATTTGGAAATACATATTGCTGAATCGAGTTGAATTACATAATTGTCTACTCATTCGAGTTGAGGTTGAGTTCGAGTTTGATTATAGTACTATTCGAACTCGACTTGATTCGTTAACACCCCTAGTTCCTGATGCATTAGTTGCAATTTTTGTCATAGGTACGTCCAAAATGATAACAAATTTTAGTTCTCTAACATTTTTTGCTCAGATTCAGGCCAATACACAAGCATCGTATTTTAGCTGAAGACCACTCAAATCTTTGTCTAATCATATATTCCTCTGATCAGATGCTATTTGTCACCTTCATATATGTGGGACAATTATCCATACTGAACCGAAATTGAGGAGTTTCAAAATGTACCTCAAATTCCATGGTAAACGAACAAATGTTCAATAACATTAGCTAAGTAATAATTGAAAATTTCATATATGTAGTGTAGCTATCACCATTGATTATGCCTTAGTTGCTTATTACGAACTATGTTTGCTTGACTTGCATGCACAATAGTCACTGGCACATTTGATTTCTTCTTTTTTTTTGTCTTTTTCTTAAGAAGCTACTATTCCAGACTGCAGTCTATTTCATTATAGAACTTCAAAAATTTGCTATCAGTAATTATACAAAACTTCTATAACTATTTTACAGTTCCTAATAGGGCTGCTGGCAAGTTGAACTGCTCGCAAGTAGCTTGCAAGTGGCCCGGTCAAATGCTCAGCTCGAACTCAATTTGACCGAGTTCAAGTTTGAGCTCGAGTATCTTGATACATATATCAAGTCGAGTTCGAGCCTCCATTTATCTTGATGCATATACCAAGTCGAGTTCAAGCCTCCGTTTGTGCTACTTGAGTGCTCGCAATGTAGCTTGATTATCAGTATATTATTTATATTATATGTTATTTTAATTATGAAATGACTAGTAAGGATTTATGTTTTAGATAATTTATCATAAATATTGTCTACTCAATAAAATTCATAAATGGAAAAAATGTAATATGGTAAAAACAAAAAAGCAAATGAGGATTTTAGATAATTTACCATAAATTTTTGAGCCTTTTTTTGAGCCCTGGAGCTTGTTAAGGCTCGCGACTAACGAGTCGAGCTCAAATTTGGAAATACATATTATTCGAGTCAAATTACATAACTTTCTACTCGTTCGAGTCGAGGTCGAGTTCGAGTAGGCTTGTGTAGGACTGAGTTCGAACTTGATTATAGCACTATTTGAACTCGACTCGACTCGTTAACACCCTAGTTCTTGACGCATTAGTTGTAATTTTTGTCATAGGCAGGGCTAAAATGATAAGAAATTTTAGTTCTCTAACATTTCTTCTGAGATTCAGGCCAATACATAAGCATCGCATTTAGCTGATGAGATCATTACAACTGGCTCGGTTAAAATATTTGGCCTGTGTAGAACAACTACAAGCAGTCATCCTACATATGTAAAAATGGAATTCTGCCTGATACCATTTATGAGGTGAATATAAGTTGGACAGAAAATGTGATTTTGACTATTATTTCTTTAGTTGAAAGGTTACTCTGCTTTTACTCATTTCTGTCATTACTAGTTTGGGAGGACTTGCAATGTACTTCTTATGTGTTTTCTCATTGTCACAGTTTTTCGTATATACTTTTTCTTATCAACATTGATAAGAAAAGGGAAGAACCGTTTAGCTATGTAATGTCTTCTTTAAGTGTGTCTAGCTGATTGGTAATTTAGATAAAAGCTACAAGCATTGCTACACTATAATAAACTAGTACTGCAAAACAAAAACTACATGATATTGAATAACAAATGGAAATATTATTAGCAAAGTCATAGCTAGGTAGGTTTTTCACTTGTTGCAAATCATTTCTTTACTAATTGTTGGTAC